CTGTCCTGGAACTCACTCTGTAGACCAGGCTGGCCTCAAACTCAGAAATCCACCTGCCTCTGCCTCCCAAGTGCTGGGATTAAAGGTGTGCACCACCACCACCCGGCGAGACATTTTCTTGATGAGGCCTGTAAACCACACTTATCTGTGGGTGTAAGGACAAATGTTTATAGATTGTTGTTAGGAATTATGCTGGTTTAATAACTTAGTGACTATAGAGTCTCCAATAACCATGACTTTGCTAGCACTGATTAGTTAGCTAGGTTTCCAGCACCAGGCCTGGTCTCCCTCTTGTTCAACAGCTTTTGAGTCCAATTGGAGAGCTGTTGGTTACCACCAAGGTATATGTGCTGCAACTGGACCCTTAGGGTTATCATGGCATGCTGGCTGTTGATGTGGTTCATAGGTGTCATAGCTTGTAGGACTCTTGGTTGCCTCCCTCCCTCCTTTGCCTTCTGATACCATGAAAGCTAGTTCTCAGGGAGAGGGTGTCCAGGTCAGTTCCAGCTGGGGGTTTGGACACTGTTTCTGAAGGGCATGGTGTCTTCAGCAGTAGGAACTTGCCTTCCTGTAAGTAACCAAGGGCAGCAGCAATAGGGTGTGTGTTTTGGGAATCTCTTAGACAGTCCTAGCCAACAACTCAAAACAGGGCTTCACATGTCTGAGATTAGAGTGTTTACTAGGTGATCATTGCTTCATTGGGGGTGCACCATCAGCCCAGGTGAGAAAATTTCCCTAATAGGACTTTAGAGTGCAATTACATCATGAAGGAAGCCATCCTAACTAGCACTTTAGTAGCCTCTCCCCCTTTCTACTCCTCCTTCCTTCTTAGACAGGACAAGGTCTCATTATATAACCCTGGCTGGCCTGGAACTCATCTTCCTCTGCCTCCTGAATGTTGAGATTTCTTTTAAATTTTTGAAAGAAGGTATCACTATGTAGTACATCTAGGTTGGCCTTGGACTCAGTCAAAGTCATCCTCCTGTCTCTGCCTCCCTAGTGCTGGGCTTACAGGTGTGCATACTGTACCCAGCTTAGTTTTGTCTCATTTTACTTACTTGCTCTTCCCAGTGCCACCAGAAGGACAGGTACTCCCATTTTACAGGGGAGGTCATCAAGGTACAAAGAGAAGAAGTAGCCTGCTCGGATCACCAAGTTGTTAGTGATGGAGATATCCAGACCTAGATGTGCTAATGCGGGCATCTGTAATAGACTACGTACTCTACTGCCTTTCCAGAAGTGACCCACAAGCTCACTTCCTGCTCTAAGTGCCTTGTACCTTTCTCACCTCAGTTTTCCCCTCTAGGTCCTTTTTCCCTGACTGTCTGGGACCAGCCTGCTATCACCTTCTAAAGTCTATGGAATTGTACAATCTAACAAGGATGTTCATAACAACCCCCAACATGATGCCCACAGTATAACAGTAGCAGCTAAGACTGCTTGTGTGTGGTGCACCATGTGTGCCAGGCACCACACTTAGCTGTTTGTATCACCATATTTAATCAAACAACCCTGTGAAAAGTCCTCTGTGGTTACTACTGTGGTCACTTCTGTGTTTAGACAGAGAGAGGTGAGTCAAATGCTTGTCCCAGAATACAGTTAGGAGATGCCAGTACCAGGGTCAAACCCAACACTGTTGGATTCCAAGGCCTGATGAGCTCTTTTGTTGTGGTGGTTTTGGTTTTAGTTTGTTTGTTTGTTAAGACAGGACATTTCCTCTATGTAGCCCTGGCTGTCCTGGAACTTACTATGTAGACCAAGCTGTCCTAGAACTCACAGAGATCTACCTGCCTCTGCTTCCAAGTGCTGGGATTAAAGGCATGCGCCACCACTGCCCAGCCTGACAAGCTCTTATAGCTCTGTGCTGTTTCTTAAACCCTTACTTGTATAGTATACTCCAGTGCGTATGAGTAGAGGCTGTCCTCTGCTTCATTCAGTGTTTATATGGCACTTGTTATGTACCAGATATTCTGGAGTGTATTGGAGTCACTATGATCATTAAGATGATTTTCCTGACCTGGAGGTTCCAGTCTAGTCAGAGAGACAGACCATGGAGAACATAGTGCTCAGTGAAGTACTTGCTACTTCCCAAGAGGGGATAGCCAGGTCCTTATGGGAGTTGGAGGATTGGAGTAAAAAAGCCTTCTCCAAAGAAAGCGTATGGAGAGAGGCAGAGGCTTGAATATGAGCAGCAGTTGCTGACTGATAGGCAACAAGGGCCGTCTGTTCAGATAGCCTGCTCAGTGGAAGTCAGGCCTTCAGAGTAGATGAGGTCACTCATGTTGTTTCGCAGTGAGTCGGGAGTGTGACATGTGATACCAGAGCGTTTATGCTGTCCTCCTGCACATGTGTGTCATATCTCCAGAGTTCGAAGACTGCCTCCCCTGACCTGTTCTGTCAGCATTACCTGGTCCGTGGGAGCATGTCCATTATCCTGTGGACTGTGTAGAGAGGTCATTGATGGCCACATTGGGAGTGGTGCAGCAGCTGTCAGATTTTAAGGGAGAGGGCTGGAGATATAGCTCTGTTCTAGAGCATAGGTGTAGCATGTAAGATCTAAGAACCCCTGGGTTTGATCCTCAGGAACGCACACATTGCACATGCACATACCATTTTAACCTATTCACCCAATAGCCTAGTAATGGGATTGCATGGGAGCTGCCTAGGGAGCAGCTTAAACAGGTAAGGCAGGTGCAGGAGGCCTGTGAACCACAGTTTAGGAAAGTGCTCCGTGAGTTTCTTGTAGAATAGGTAGTAGAATCACAGTGGACATATAGTTTGTTCCAGGGTGGTTCAGGTGCTGAGCTACTTCATTGTAGAGGAAAATGGGCCTTGTGTCCTCACATGCAGCATTGTGGGAAGACCCAAGTGCCAAGGCTGTGTGATTTATCTTTTTGGAGGGCTTTACTTTGTTGCATGTTAAAAATTGCATTTCAGGCTGGACATGACTGCCAAGATGAGCAGATTACAAGTTCTAGGTTTACCAGGGCTACAGGGCCAGCTCAAAGCCAGTTGAGTCAAATTACTGAGACCTTGTCTCAAAATAAAATAAAATAATGAAAAATGGGAGGTGAATATTGGATGGAGCTTGGAGACCCTTATGAAGAGTTGGAGGAAGATTTGAGGGCCCCAGAGGGGATAGGAACTCCACTAGAGACCAGTAGAGTCAACTAACCTGGATCCCTGGCGGGGGTGGGGGGAGTCTCAGAGACTGAACCACCAAGCAAAGAACATACACAGGCTGGACCTAGACCTCCTGCACATTGTAGCAGCTGTGTAGCTTGGCCTTCATGTGGGCCTTGAACAACTAGAACAGGAGCTATTCCTAAAACTGTGGCCTGTCTGTGGAATCTGTTCTCCTAACTTGGCTGTCTTGTTTGGATGCAGTGGGAGAAGAAAAACCTAGCCCTTCAGAGACTTGATGTGCCAGGGTTGCGGGATACCCAGAGGGGGCCGCCACTTTCAGAGGGGAAGGGGGATGGGAGGAGGGACAGATCAAGATGTAAAGTGAATAAAAATAAGTAAAATGAAATAGAGTCAAGCTACCCTTTGTTAATTAAACACATATGTATTGTTATAAAAGAGGCTTATTACAGGTAAAATAAAAATACCTTCCTGTAAAAATGATGATAAACTAATTTATAATGTTATTCTATTCTTTGTAGTCCATGACTTACCAAATATTAAAATATGTCTTGCAACATTGAAAAAATAAATAAGGGCTGGTGAGATGGCTCAGCGGTTAAGAGCACTGACTGCTCTTCTGGAGGTCATGAGTTCAATTCCCAGCAACCACATGGTGGCTCACAACCATCTGCAATGAGATCTGATGCCCTCTTATGGGGTGTCTGAAGACAGCTACAGTGTACTCACATATAATAAATAAATAAATAAATAAATAAATAAGCAAACACATAAGTAAAACCTTTGGGCCGGAGCAAGCAGGGCCATAGCAAGTGGGGCTGGAGCGAGTGAGAGAAGGGAAGGGAAAAGAAAAAAGAAAGAAAAAGAAAAGAAAAATGGGACGTGAGGTTGTAGCTCGGTGGCAGAGCTTTGTTTATCATGCCAGACAGCACAGTAAGAACAGCATAGAACACTAAACACTTGGGCCTGTCTCTGAAGTGTAGACATAGCTAGGTCTAATTAGTCCACCTCCAGGGTGCTGCCTCTCTGCTCACTGCTCTTCTGGACTGTGGGGACAGCCCCTCTACTCTTGCTCTCCCAGCCTCTGATAGACGTCGTGAGCCACCTCCTTTTGATCCAGAGTCTCCTTCCTAATTAAGCCTGTGTCCCTGACAGGTGAAGTCTCCTGGACTTTAACTTCCCCAGTCAGTCACTCTAGATTTCGAAGATGAGGTTGTTCCTTGGGCAGGAGTCACTCATTCTGTCCCATACTGAGTCCTGGTTTCCATAGTGTACTGTACTACAGGGAACAGGGAACTGGAGGCATTCTGAAAGTAGTGTTTAGTGTCCTAGGCTCTGGCTAAGGGAGATCCGACCCTGACCTCTGACTCCATCACCAGCTTTGCTTTGAATCCCACATCAGGTACCTGGAACTGACTACTGTCTCTTGGCATCCATCACCAATGACTGAGACAAGCCATGCTTGTTCTTCCTTTAGTTTCACTGAATCAGAATCCTCATGTGTGCTTCAGGAACCTAGATTTTGCCAGCTCTGTAATTTGTTTGCATCCTAAAGTTTTTGGGTGCTGGTTTCAAGGTCTTGGCAGTGTTCTTGCCTCAGTTTGGGCAGATGTGTCCCTGGCATGTAATGATTCAGAGCTCTTTCTGCCATTTGGGGGGTACAGGGTGCCTCTCTCTCAGTCTGAATTGGAAACTGTGCTAATACAAACTTAATCACTGCTATGCTGTGAGCGTTGCCAATGGCCCTTGGGCCTGGCTTTCACATCAGTTTGAGTAAGCTCTTATTGCTTCCTTTTTTTCTAGGTACCTGTACCATGTTTTAACAAAAAACACCACTGTCACAGAACAGAACCGGAACCTGCTTGTGGAGACCATCCGTTCCATCACTGAGATCCTGATTTGGGGCGATCAGAATGACAGCTCTGTGTTTGAGTATGGCTTGCAGTGCTTTTGTTTCCTGGCCCTTCCACTTCCTTTGGGTGTCTTTCCAAGTGTACACCATGAGCCATTCCTGATGACGTCAGGAACTGATACTAATTTCATCTTGCCTGAATATCTGTATCAAACATCCTTGAGAATGTAGAGTTGCAAGCCAAAAAGGAAAGAACTATGGAACTATGGAAATGAGTTTCTCTAGAAAAGCTGAAGATATTGTGAATAACATTCCAACTTGTGCCCCATCATCTACTCCAGGACAAGAAGAATGTCCTGGATAGTTAGATCCTAAATGAACAGGTCCTGCCCTGAGGGAGTTGCTGAAGGCCAGCATTTAGTCTGTTTATTTTAGTTTATTTATTGCCTTGCATATGTGTATATGTGGTATCTATGCATGTTGGAACATATACGGGAATATCTTTAGGTGGGTATATATGCATGTGTGCACACATGTGCATGTTTGTGAAGATCAGAGGTTGATGTCAGGTATCTTCCTCTACCACTCTTTACTTTAGTTACTAGAATTAAGGTCTCTTGCTGAACCCTGGGGTTGTTAATTCGTCACAGCCCTTTCACAGGGATTGCCTAAGACTGTCAGGAAACACAGCTGTTTACATTATGGTTCATAACAGTAGCAAAGTTACAGTTATGAAGTAGCAACAAAAATAATTATGTGATCAGGAGTCACCACAGCATGAGGAACCTGTATTAAAGGATCATAGTGTTAGGAAGGTTGAGAACCAGTGATCTAGACTAACTGGCCATCTTGTCCTCAGGATCCATCTCTGCTTCCTGGGAGCTTGAATTACAGGCAGACTGCCATTTTCACCCAGCTTTTATATGGATTCTAGGGATTTGAACTCATGCTTCTGAGTTCAAGTGGATAGCACTTTATCCACTAAGCCATCTCCCTAGTCCCTAGTATGTTTACTGAGGGCCAGCAACCATGCTTAGATTTGAAAGGAGAATCTACCAAATTTGCCCCTTGGCCCACATGGAAGCCCTGTTGGTATCCCCATGTGTAGCTGGTAGACAGTGAGGGAGGTACTCATACCCAGAGTCTACCAAGCTGGAAAAATAAAAATTGTCATACAAGTGTGAATTTGAACCCCCAGAACCTATGTAGAAGCTCTGTATGGCAGCACAGATTTGTAATCCCAGTGCTTGTTTGGTGAGATGGGAAGCAGAAACAGGAAAATCTCTGAAAGGTGGAAGCTAGGTCAGGTAGCTTGTCTATGCAGCAACAATGACACCTATCTCAAGAAAGGTAGAAGGTGAGGGTGAACATCCAAAGCTTCCTCTGACTTCCACGCACTTGACATGGTGTCTATATGTCCCAACACAGACATACACACTGTACACACAAAGATACAAACATCTACCTTGGGAGCTTCACACTAGGTTACTAAGTCACCCCAGCAGCAAAATCCAGGCACAGATGTTTGACAGCTTCCTCCATTGGTCGCCCAGTGGTATTGAGTGTGTTCATGATTCAGGAGAGCTGCTGCTTTTTATAACCTGAAGCGGAGGTAGACAAAGTAGGTCAGGCGCCTGAGATGCTCCAGGTCAACTAGAGCAGTGTATGTGGTCAGGCAAGCTCTTGCAGTCAGAGCCAGAAAAGACTGACAGGTTTTTAAGGTCATATTTTATCATTCACTTATTTTATTATTCATTTTACGGATTCAAACAAAATTATGTGGCAGTGAGTGTCAGGCCAGTGGTCTCTATGGAGTTGAGGAGAAAGGACCACCCAGAACTGAGTCAACCAGCAGACTTATGTGACTACAGGGACTTTTCCTTTTCTGTCTGTCTTTCTATCCATCCTCCTTCCTTCTCTCCCTTCTTCCCTTTCTCCTTTCTCTCTCACTCTATTTCTCTCTCTTTCTGTCTTTCATTCTCTCAGACAGTTTCCTATATTCCAGGCTAGCTTTGAATTCACAGTGTAGCTAAGAGGATGACTTTGAACTTCTTTCTGGTTTTCCTGCCTCCTCTGCCCAAGTGCTGGGATTACAGATGCATGCTTCCACACTTGCCTTATGTTCTCCTGGGCAAGCACTCTATCAACTGACCCGTATCCCAGCCTTTGACTATTCCAAACTGATCCTATTCAAATACAGTAAACAAATAAGTAGAGACAACATCTTTCTTAAAGGAAGGTCCTATTTTTAACACACACACACACACACACACACACACACACACACACACACCTGGCCAGTGCTCCTGGCTATGTGTCCTTCCAGCACAAGAAAGCAGATACAGACCTGGGGACTGAAGAGTGCCTCCACCACATCGGTGTCTTCACCTTTCTTTAAGTTCTTTGCCTAGAGATCTGGAAGCTGCACACTTGACAGCAGAAGTGGAAAGCTCTGCTGTCACTGAGCATCCTCTGGCCCTTCAGAGAAGCCCAGTTCTTGTGCTTTTCTAACCTTGGATATGGGAGCACAAAGGGAATAGGTTTCATGGTGAAGCTAAGGATTCAAGTTGTGTATGTACTCAGGAATGATACTTGTAGCGCACAGACTGCTGTGTGGCCGCTTAGCAGGAAAAGAGCATACCTATTCTGTCAGAATCTAGTTCAACACTTCATGGAAGTAGCACTGACCTGGTCTGCGGAGACAGGAAGTGAAAGAAGCATAACACATGTGTTGTCCTTAGTTGCAGATGGGATCATGGTCACTGAGACTGTCCAGGCAGGTGTCACAGTCTAGTCTTGCCACTGGTGGTCTTCATAGGGCGAGCCTACACATAGGAGCTGTGAGCGTATCACCCACTGACCCTTTCTTGTTCTTTCCCCAGCTTCTTCCTGGAGAAGAACATGTTTGTTTTCTTCTTGAACATTCTGCGGCAGAAATCAGGCCGTTATGTGTGTGTCCAGCTGCTACAGACCTTGAACATTCTCTTTGAGAACATCAGCCACGAGACATCACTCTGTAAGTGCCATTTGCCTGTGTACTGCCCAGTGTCAGGTGGTTTCGTGTGTCTGTATCCCACCCATTTTATTCTGCCCAGGCTTTATCCCAGTAGGCTTAGCGGCTCGGACAGTAGAAGTGTGTTTGCCCACTATTCTGGAAGCTGAGGTCAGAGCTGGTTTCTGGTGGGGATTTCTTCTTAGTTTGTAGACAGCTGCTGTCTGAGTCTGTTTTCTATTACTATAACAAATAAAAATATTTTTATTTCTTATGTGCATGGGTGTTTGGCCTGCACATATGTCTATGTTCCATGTGAGTGCCTGGTGCCTGCTGAGGCCAGAAGAGGGCATTGTATACCCTGGAACTGGAGTTAAAAATGGTTATGAGCCACCATGTGGCTTTTGGGAATCAAACCCAGGTCCTCTAGAAGGGCAGCTGGCGCTCTTAACCACCAAGTCGTCTCTTCAGCTCTGAGAAACTAGGTCATTTAAAGAAATGAGCTTTATTTTGGCTTAAGATTTTGAAGGCCAAGAAGTTCAAAATTAGGCATCCACACCTTGTGAGAGCTTTCTGCTGCTTCATCTCACAGCCAAAAAGTCTGTGTTAAAGAGACTATATATTTTCTCATGAAGCACATGGTAACCTGTTTTGTTTTTTGTTTTTTAATCTGTGAGCTTTACAGTGCAGGTAATCTCCCATTGCAAAGCTTCAAATGTTTCTTTAAAAAGTTTTATTGTATTTTCCTATTTTCGTGCATATATGCACATGTGTATGTGTACGTGTGTGTGTACGTGTGTGTCTGTGTGTGTGTGTAGCACATGCTCATAATGTGAAGCACATGTGGAAGTGAGTGGTAACCCTAGGGGTCACTTCTCCTTCTGTCTTGTGGGTCTCAAGCTTGGTGACAAGAACCTTTACTTTCTGAGGCATTTTGCTAGCCCACAATAACGCTCTTAAGGTAACTAACTAGTCGAGAGGCAGGAGAGGAAAAATTCACAGTGAGAAAGAGATGAACCCACTCATGATAGCTCCACTCCATCACCTAAGTACCACTCCCTAAGCCTGAACTCTAACGTGGCCTCATTACAGGAATAGAGATTATGAAACTTGGGGGACACATCAGACCTTAGCTACCTTCTCACATACCGACCCTGTCTGTAAGAGAATGAAGTCAAAAGAGCTCAACCTCTGGTCTCTCTGACTCTGTAGGGACACTCATTCTGTCAGGGGTAGACCCTGACGCTGCAAACTCATTTAACCTTAATTACTCCTGAAAGCCCTGTCACACTGCAGTCACACTGGGAGTAGCATGTGCAGCTTTTGAATGTGTTGAGGGTAGTTCAGTGTGGGAGGGTTCTAGTCCCTCTGCATGGTTTAATCTAATGTCTGAGTAGTACACAGGCCAGTACTTCTGGAGCAATGGAGGAGGCTGGAGAGGTCTTAACTCCCACCTTTGCTTCAGTATCATTGCCCAGCAAGCAAGAGCTTGACTCAGTTCAACCCTCAGTACACCCCGTTTATTCTTCTGGGAGGCAGGGACTACTGAGGCTCTCATTGTAACTCCAAGAAAGTTTGAGTCATGGACCCAAAGTAACCAGTCCAGCAAGTCCCGAGTAGAGAAGAGATTTCAACACAGGAGAATAAGCTCAGATCCTCAGTGTGGTACTGGTATTTTCTGGGTCCATTACTGGCATTTGGTTTTTTTTTTTTTGGTTTTTCGAGACAGGGTTTCTCTGTGTAGCCCTGGCTGTCCTGGAACTCACTCTGTAGACCAGGCTGGCCTCGAACTCAGAAATCCGCCTGCCTCTGCCTCCCAAGTGCTGGGATTAAAGGCGTGCGCCACCAACGCCCGGCTCATTACTGGCATTTGGAACTACTCTTAGTTGTCACAGTCCATCCAAGTAGATGGAAGCTAAGCATCCTGCAGTACCCAGGACAGACCTTCAGCAGCGCATTGCCTAGACCAGTACGTTATCCATGCTGGGACTGAGCCAGCCTGATGTCATTCTATGCTAGCTTACTTACTCCAAATGCTGCACAGCTCAGGTCCTGCTCTCGAGGGCAAGAGAAAAGTGGTCGAGCGCTGGAGCAAAGGCAGATTTAACAAATCAAGTTGCTGGGTGGTGACCTTAGCAGTGGCCACTAGGTGGTGCTGCAGCCACAGAGCTCTCCTTCCCCTGACCGCAGCCTGACAGATGGAGCTAATTCACGTCTCCCTGCATGGTTTCCCTTGGTATCAGCTTCTGTTTCTGTTTGCTGGATGTGGAATAAGTGTGGTTTCTGAGATCTGAGGGGGAAGATCCAGCTCTGGGGTTCAGGCACAGGGCTCAACCAGAACTAAACATCCAGGAATGTTCTGAGGCCACTGGGACAATTCCAGAGTCTTAAGCTTTAGTATGGGGTCCCTGGAGTTTTATCTTGTGACTGTCTTGAAATCCATCTAGGGCTAGGAATTAACAATACATCCTTTGAAAGTCTTAGCTTCTTAGTGTCGTACCTTGAAGATCTGATGTGAATCCTTTGAGGTGTTCATCACCTTCCAGAGCCTCCTGTCTGAGAATTTCAGACCTCTAGGTCAGGTCCGTTAGCTGTCATCATCAGTCACCAATCTGTAATGGAGAATTTAGCTGCCTCACAGGCTAAGGTCTTGTGACGTTTAGCCAGCCTCCCCACTTCCTCCACACACAGCCCCTGATGACCCTTTCTGCCCTCTGCATCTGTGTTAACTCTTTTAGATTTTATACAGAGGTCATCCGACATGTGTATGGCTGTACATGGAAGTGGGAGCACTGTGGGTGGGAGCACTGTGGGTGGGAGCACTGTGGGAACCTGCCTGAGAAGCCCAACAGTCACACACCTCTTGCTTTCTGGACAGTTTATTTAAAACAGCTTTTCAAGCAGTTTTATCTTTGTGGTCCAGTTTGGCCTCAAACTCTGAGTCCTCCTGTCTCAGCTTCCAAAGTGCCGGGATTAAAGGCATGTGCCACAACACCCAGCTCTGCTTCAGCCTCTGAGTGCCACCATCACAGTTAAACGCCATTGTGTCCCACTCACTGCTTTGGAGTCATTGTAAAGCAGCAGAACGCAGTCACAGAAGTGCAGTCAGGTGTCTGTAGCCTCCCACCCTACACTCAGCCACGCAGGCCGCCCTACTCACTCTGTTCCCACCACCAGCCTGGCTTCTGTTGTTCCTACATGTGACTCTCCCTGGTTCTGCATCGTTATTAAATGAACCTGACTGTGGGCATCTAGGTGCTTTCCAGGTTTTCACTATTACGCTATTACAGGGAGTCCTTACACAGAGGCCACTGTTGCCTGTTTGTTTGGTGACCTAAGTAACCGAGGCCCAAGAGACTGAGATTACTTACTGACTCCCAGGTTTATTATAACAGAATACCACAGAATGTCAGCCATGGTGTGGTAGTAGAAAACTCCCAGCCACACAACGGGCCCCTTTACTGATCCCTAACCCCCCACAAAGCCGTGTAGAGGACTTAGAAAAGTCCCTGTGGGGAGCAGATGAACCTTATGGCTGTCCCAGGTGTAGAATGTAGCTGCTAGCTTTTGTGCCATTTGTGGCCCAGGAGTCACTGACCTATAAATACAGGGCTCACTGAGATGTCCTAATTCCCTTCACCTATTCTCATTGTTATTCCCAAGTTGTCCCTAGCCAGATCACGAGTGTTCTAGTCATCAGAAGCACCGAAGTTTTATGTTATGGCAAATCATAAGTGGATAAGTAAGTTGGGGACAGTTTTTAAAATCCACTAGATAGCACAAAGAGTGGGAGGTAGTGTGCCTATGACAGCACTCAGATGCAGTGTCACCCGTCCTGTTTGACTCCTCTGTGTAAGATTCACAAGCAAGTGCACAAGTTTATAGAGATGGAGTTGGAGTGGTCCCCTGTCTTGAGAGAAGATGCTTACAGGGCAGGGGTATGGACAAGCTTTCTGAGGAACTGCAAACCTACTGGGCCTTAACTGAGTGGGGCCTACAAAGCATACATCTGTATAATATCCCTTGAAGCAGATACCTGAGGCTCACATGCTTGTGTGTTAAATGCGGATGTGAAGGAACTTAAGGGTCTATACAGTTCATTTCCACACACAGCAAGCTTACCTGTAGCACTTGTGACCATGACTCATTTGACTCATATGGTCAGGATTTTTAGGGCTCTTCCCCACCCTCCTGGCCTCTTTTGGAGCTGGCCCCAAGAGCTGCCTCAGGTATTAGAGGCGTGAGGGCAGGCTGGTTGTGTTATCTTTCACCATGTTGATCATAGGGTTAGTTTGGCTGATCTTGCCTGCTAGGTTAGTGGTGTTGACACCTTCACTACTTTGGGTGTATTCCTTTATAAGGTGTATGTTCTGTTGAGAATGCCAGCCTTTCCAACAGAGGTGAAGGGTGTCAGTAGTGCTGCTCCCCTTAGAACCACATAAAGGTAACCTGGTGCTGGGCACACGGTGGGGATGCAGGGCGGTGGGGATGCAGGGACTCCTAAGAGATTGTCAGTAGATAGAGATGGGAGACATGTGCAGCCCTTTCTGGCATTCAAGCATGATAATGTCTTTCGATGGCCATGTGGGCTAGCGATGAACAGAAAACATGCTTGAGTCTGTCTCTTTGGGCTCACAAGGGAGGCCACAAGCTCCTCCCTGGAAGGGTCTGTGTGCTTGCTGATGGTCCTACCTAGTGTGTGTTTTTTTTGATGGGTAAAGGTTAAGCTGCCCTTTGTGCTCACTGGTTGAGCTATACTCGTTACCCAGCGGCCTTTGCTGGCATTTCCTCCAGCACGAGCTCACCTGTTCCACTTTGTGTTCTCTCTCCTAGATTATTTGCTGTCTAATAACTATGTAAATTCGATCATTGTCCATAAATTTGACTTTTCCGACGAGGAGATCATGGCATATTACATATCGTTCCTGAAAACACTTTCATTAAAGCTCAACAACCACACTGTCCATTTCTTTTACAATGAGGTGAGTGGCGACCAGCAGGTGTGTGCTGTCAAAGCTAACCCTAGCGTGGAGGCCTGTGCTCTACAAAGCACTTTCCTGAGCACAGACTTTGGCATACTTAAATATAATTTTTTGTTTTAAAAAATGTGGTGTGCACATGTATGCAAATGCATGCATGCAAGCATGCAAGTATGTACGAGTGTATTCTGGGTCTGTGGAGACCAAGCAAGGGCTCTAAAATCCCGACTTGTCACTCTCCAGTTTGCTCCTTTGGATCTCTTCCTGGACCAGGAGCTTGTTTGTATCTTTCAGGTACCTGTCAGCCAGCAAGCCTCAGTGATCCCCTGCCTCTGCCCGTCTCCATGGTGGGGTTAAAGGCATGCGAGGCCATCTCAGACTTGTTAGGTGGGACTGGGGCTGGGACTCATGACTGTTTAGGAGGCATTCTCAGCTGCTGAACCCCACAAACTTTTTTTTTCTTTTCTTTTTGTTTTTTTTTTTGAGGCAGAGTTTTGCTGTGTAACCCCTATTGATTAGGCACTCAATCTGTAGCCCTAGCTGGCCTCAAACTCAAGGGAACTACCCACCTCTGCTCTCTGCAAGGGCTGAGGCTAAAAGTGTGCACCACCACACCTGGCACAAACTTGTTTCTTTTTCTTTCTTTTTTCTTTTTTTGTTTTGTTTTTCAAGACAGGGTTTCTCTGTGTAGCCCTCGCTGTCCTGGAACTCACTCTGTAGACCAGGCTGGCCTCGAACTCAGAAATCTTCCTGCCTCTCCCTCCCAAGTGCTGGGATTAAAAGCGTGTGCCACCACTGCCTGGCCTACTTTTTTCTTTAATTGAACAAATTCCCTTTCTATTTTAATGTAAACTCCAGCTTACTTGGCAGGGAGGAAAGTCCAGAGGTTACCTTGTTGAAAACAGCAGAGACTCCATTTAGGCACAGCTTTTCTGCTCCTTGCAGTGTGACGAGAGGACTTCCAGGCCTCTCTGCGCCCCCTCCTTTGAGAAATGAGGTGAAACTATATACCTGGTTATGGGTTTCAGGGCTTCACTAAATGAGATGATAGCTTCAAAGTTCTGTGAAGTGATAAACTCACTGTCCTTGAGGGGTTAGGTCCCTCACATTCCTTACATAACAACTTACATAGTAAATTAATTGCTTCTACTGTGATAGCACCAAGGAGCTTGAGGATAAGGTCAGTTTAGCTCATATACTTAAAAGTACAAATGGCAGCTATGTTCTGCCTTGTTCATGTGCTGGCTCACTGTATCAAGAGCCCAGGGTTTTTTAACTTCCTGCTCAGTAACTGTAACTGCCATCTGTTCAAGGCTTGGTTCCATATGGTCATGTGACTGCTATAGCTCCAGATTTCACTCAGTCACATGTTGTCAGAATTTCTGACATCATTTCCTTTCTTGTATCCCTTTTGAGGAAACTCTCTCAGAAAAGTCCAAGAAGTCTCCCTCAGACTTCTGTCTATGTCTCACTGACACTGAGACAACTCACTGAGTTGTACCACAGTCTTCTTAGTGTGTCTTAGAGAACTATTTTACATAGTGCCCAAGAAGCTAATGTCCTCTGGAGGCTGGAATATGGTGAGAGGGTTTATTTCACTGTCATGGTGGTTAGCTGAAGCTGGCTGTGCATGGGAGACCACAGCTCCTTTTCAGGGGCCTCTTCCCAGGGCTGACCAACAATCTTACAGCCAGCTTCCCTGGAGTGAGTCACCCAGCAGACCAGTGCAAGCAGTGCTGCTGTCCATGCCTCATGTCACACACACGCACACACACACACACACACACACACACACACACACAGAGTGCTGCTGTCCATGCCTCATGTCACACACACACACACAGAGTGCTCCTGTCCATGCCTCATGTCACACACACACACACACACACACACACACACACACACACACAGAGTGCTGCTGTCCATGCCTCATGTCACACACTTACTTCTAGCATACTCTTTGGTCACACAGGCATGATTTGCCTCTGTGGGCGGGTCCAGCATGAGTGTGACACAGGTGGTAAACATATTTGGGGACCGCCTTGGAAAGCTAGCTGTCATACAGCCAGCCGCATGTCATTTGTGTGGCAGGTATTACCTGAGTAGTTGTCCCACATGCTCAAAGCCTGTTTTTGAAGTCAGACCACAATCCCAAACTTTTCTGAGTTTAGGCAAAAACCATCTTGTTGCTATGACAATAGCCTGAACCTTGATTTTCATGATTCAGTAGTCTCTCTTAGAAGGAAATACTGGCCAAGAGCCAACAATATGAATGTCCTTGAATAAATAACATGATAGGACCCTGTCCCTGGCACACAGTAGGTGCTTGATAAACACATCCAGGGAACAGCTCTTCCCCAAAGGCTCTCCCATGTGGAAGAAAATCCAGGCCAGAGTGAGGGCCAGAGTAGTCTTTGCTCAGGTGCCCTCTGCATCATAGTGGGAGGGCAGAAGACATAGGTCTGGAAGGGCTGGACATCCTAGGAGCCTTGTGGTTTTTGTTTTTTGTGTGTGTTTGTCTGAGCCAGGTTAGTAGTTCCCAGTTTTTAGATTCATACTTGATTGCCAGTCCTCAAAATGGAATTTCCCTGTTAATTGCCCTGTTGTTATGTTGAGTCTCCTGCTCTATTCCAGGAAGGGCTGGCCTAGAGGATCCCTGAATGATATAGAAACATTAGCCACAGGAGGGCGGCAAAGTCTACTGCCAGACCCTTTCTGCTCAGTCCTCTCTGACTAAGGCAGTGGGACTTGTTCTGAACCATTTAATTGGTTCTCTTTGTCCCCTTTTAACAGCAGGAGACTTCCAAGACCCTCTGCCTCCCTGATGATGCTACTCTTTTAGTGTTTCCAAATGGTATAACAGCCAAAAGATGCCGAACTTAGTCCAACTTGGTCTTTACTCAAGCAGGTCTGACATAAATAACTGGCACTTTCTCCATGCACTGTAGGTGCCAAGGGCTGGGTTGAGCACTGGACCAGAAATGACCTCATTTCATCCTAGAGGCCAGAAAGTGTGTGCTAGTACCCCAGTTTTATAGATGAAGAAATGGGCTCAGAAATACCTCCTCACACAGCTAAACCTGTAGGCCAGGTCATACGTTCTGTGGACGGACGTTCTCGCTTCCCTGGCTTCCTCACCTCCCATCATGGTGAAATCTGGTTTGTTTTGCTTTGTTTTGTTTTATCACAGTCTGACACATTTCAGAAAAGTTTGGGAGCTGATCTGTCTTGTGGATTTGTAACTTTTGGGACTGTTTTCTGTTTTAGCATACCAATGACTTTGCCCTGTACACAGAAGCCATCAAGTTCTTCAATCATCCCGAAAGTATGGTTCGAATTGCCGTGAGAACCATCACCTTGAATGTCTACAAAGGTAAGTTTCCTTGTCACTTGGGCCTCAGGTGGTAGGCCAAGTGCTGGATACCAAGCTCACGAGCACAGTTCCCAAGTTACTGGAGAGCTTGCCTAATATGAGCCATGGCTCCTTGTCTGACAAAGGCTTGCAGGCATATCACTGTTCCTTGTGGAAATCTTTGTGCTGTATGCTCTAGTATTGCTCCCTGCTGCTGCCCCATGTTAGTCCTATCCCAAGAAGTCTGTGAGGGATTTGGAGTGGCCATAGGCTATAATTAATTATAATTAATTATTATTAATTATATTAATTATTAATTAATTTATAATTTTATAAAGCAAAACTCTATTGAAAAATTTAGCTTTAAATTTTTATGTTTTGGCTTATAAAATACACTGTTATTTGTTTTATATTTTATTTTTAAATATGCATGAGAACATTTCACATCATAAGCAGCAGGTGGCAGTATTGTATTCCCAGCTAGCCATCAAGGCCAGTGTTAACAGATGTGGCCTTCCTTCCTCCTTTCAGGTGTACTTAGTGCTCCATACCTTGTCCAGTAGAGAGTCTTTCCACAAGGCCTGCTCATGCTGGCATGCAGGCTGCCTGCCTGCAGGGTTTTGGAACTGGCACTCTTAAGACAGTTCCTAAAGGCTGGTTCATTTCCTTGTGGTAACCATGGTGAAGCTGGACCTCTAGTTTCTTGGCCATTTAAGGGCTTTGACTTTCATGACTCAAGGTGTATTTCTTGAGATGTAATACCAGTTGAGGGCCAGGGAAGGTTGCCTTAAATTTAATTTAAGAACTTTTCTCAGAGCCTAATTGAGTACAGCCAGAGGTCACAAACTGCGAGTCTGTAGACACCAACCAGCCCTCAAACACATTTTAGTTGCTCAGATAATCTTGGAAAAAAATATACAGAACATCCAGGAAATGCTTTGTCTTTAAATATATATATATATATATATATGTATATATATATATATATATATATGCTTTTAAATGTAAAAGTGTGGAGATTTTTACACTGTGTGATTTATGACTTGAAGATGTCCATTTGGGTGTTCTAGGCCCATACTCACATGGGGAATTAAGTGGTCAAAGGCTGAGAGGCAGCTGCTCCTTTCTGGGCTCCAACTCCCTAGTCTGCTTTCCCAGCCTTCAGACTTGGTTCACTGTGCAGACCTCTTGACCTGGCAGACTTCTGAGTTTGCGGCCTTGGTCATGCACAGTTGGTTCCACTGCCCTATGCTTTGTTTTCTCTTGCTCTCTTCTAACTGTGTCTTTTGGTTTAGATGCCTCCTGCCTAGGCTCTGTCTCTCTGGGCCGCTGTCTCACCTTCCCAGTTCCTAACCCTGTTAACTGTTGTCTGTTTTTGCCTTTCCTCCAATGCCGATTCCTGTTCCTTATTCCAGTGTCATGTAAGTTATTAACCTCTGGTTTTCCTCTTTCTGAGCTTGCCTTACAAGTAATCACAGGAGACTTGGTTTGAGAGGGCTGCATTCTCAGTGTAGTCAGGTCTCGCCTCTCCAGTGCACGGAATGTCCCTCCCCCAATTATAACAGTAACAACTAAGTGTGTTAGTTGAGAAAATAGCACCAGCGTAGCTTTATGTGATAACTAAGATAACTATCTCCAAATATTTTCAGGAAAGACAGAGTCTCAGATGGTAGCAAGGTTTTTCATAGTGGTTTTTGGTTTGTTTGGGTGTTTTGTTTTTTAAGACTGTCCTTGAGTTATTTTGGTGGCTTACTGTCTCTTCTTTTGTGCATCCTCTCAGTGGATAACCAGGCCATGCTGCACTACATCCGAGACAAAACCGCCGTCCCATACTTCTCCAATTTGGTCTGGTTCATTGGGAGCCACGTGATCGAGCTTGACAACTGTGTGCAGACGGATGAGGAGTAAGTAACATTCCGGTTGTCTCACTGGAGAGCAGGGTGCTGAGGATGTGTTTCCACCAAAGAAGAGTAGAGAGGAGAGCAGCACTTGTGTCTACACAGACAGTCAGGACTCCAGGCTGCTGAAGGTTCTACTTGCCTGTTGGGGATGGTGGGAAGTTGGAATTTCCCATGTGCCTCCCTCCATATGGGCACTGGGGCAGCATGGCCTTTAACTGGGTCTGTTAGGCTAATGATCAGAAAACGAGGGTATGTGAATCACCAATATGGAGAGCTGTGGTTCACTCGCTAAAGCACTTGCCTCACAGACTTGAGGATGTGAGTTCCATCCCTGGAAGCACAGGGTCCAGTGGCAGAAAAGGCAAGTCCCTGGAGTTTTTTGGCCAGCTAGCCTACTTGGTGAGTTCCATACCAATGAGATACCCTATCTTTCACAAAAGATAAATAGCACACACAAACACATGTGCATACCGTCTTTCCACACAGAACACAAAATGGTCAAAATGGGGTCTGTCTGTGCAGTGGAATAGTACTTAGCCATGACTGGTCTGAAGTGCTGACACATGCTCTGATATGGATAAACCTCTAAAACATCACCTGACTGAAAGGAGCAGACAGGGCTTTTGACAGACAAGATTAAAAATATTACAAAACAGATATGATGAACATACATGGGGCCTCGGAGAGAGTACTTGCTGAGGCCTTAAGTTCAACTGCTAGCACTCCAAGAAAAAAAAGTGTAAGAAACCCATTAAGTCATGTACATGAAATGAGTGAGCTTTGTTTATCAGTGAATCATATCTCAAGAAAAACTTTAAAACATGGTTTATGTAACAGGAGATATTTAAAAAGTGCTGTGGCGCTGGCTGGCTAGCTAATCGGCAGGGCGGTTCTGTTTAGCTCTGGCCGCCATTTCCACACTAGAAGTGGCCAGAGGCCAAGTGTGCCACAACTAGACCCACGAGACACCAGCGTGGGGGATGGCTCTACCAATCCACCATGCTATAGCCACACAGCTCGGCTGAACCCCAGACAATGTCTGCCATCCTCAAAGAACCCAGTAGAATGAAGACTCTTAGTGCTTAAAGATTATCCAATGGATTTATATATTTGGAAATGCTCAAATAACAAGATGCCCACACAATTAGAATTGTTACCCGATATCTAACCTTTTGATAGAAGTTGCTACCCAGGACTGCTTTGACCCATCCATCCTCCTCCATGGTCCATAGCCTCCTTTCTCTTTATCCTCCCCTTCCTCTTTCTCCCCTCCCCTTTCTCTCTTCTTCTCGAAGTTCCACCTCCTTTTCTACTGCCTAATCATGGAGCTCCACTGCGAATACAATGTAGCAGAATAAATATCCTGCTACAGGTTTAAGGTGGTGGTGGTGGTGGTGGCCGTGTCCTCAGAACGAGGACTTGAAGTTCCACACACAGTGGGTTTTCTGTCTTGGTTCTGTTGACCTTCTGAACTGTGCACTTGGTTGCTTTAGTCTGTCTTTGCTTTGCAGTATGTTGAGCAGCCTGCATGGCCTGCCTCTTGTATGGCTGATAGCACCTCTCCAAGTCAGGACAACTGAAAATGCCTCTTGACATTACCGTCAGCCAAGAACTGTGGCTTCAAGGACAGGCTTTGCTTGGCCTTGTAGAAGTATAGAGAGATGGGGTCAGGACACTGGAGGAATCCAGAAAGAAGTCTCCTGGACAAGGGGAGCCAGTCAGCACTGGGAAGGCAGCAAGGCCAGGGAAATGGTGCGGTTGGGCTGACTGGACCTTCAGGAAAATAAGAACCATGTAGAACACAGCCTTCATGGAAGGAAGTGAAATCATAGTCTTTTGTGGAGCTCTGCAGTGACCAGTAATGATAATATCAACCTAGTTACCCAGTAAATACTATGGGGGACTGAGGGACGGAGTTCTGTGGTGAGGGAGTCCAGTGAGCAGCACCTACAAAGGCTCAGCTGCAGACTGGGAGCCAGTATAGGTTCCACAGAAGGCGGAGGGACTCTCTGCACAAAGGTTCTATGATTAAGGCATTCTCAGCTGGGCCTGCTAGCTCAGGCCTGGCATTCCAGATCCTCAGGATATGTAAGCGAGAAGATTAAAAGCCCAAGGCCTGTCTTGTCTACATAGCAGATTCCAAGCCTGGGCAACTTAGTAAAACTGTCTCAAAATAAAGTAAAAAGAGGGCTGTATTGGAGCTCTGGGGTAGAACATGTGCCACACCCACATGAGGCTCTGGGCTTAGTCCCTAGTGTCATGCGCACAGTTCCTTCTCTGGCTTGGATAGGACAGATGCTGTTAAACCCAGAGCAATTCAGTAAAGGTTTTCTGAAGGAAACATTAAAAAGTGAGGTATAGTAAAAACCTACTAATGCCAATTTTTGATGGTATCTTAAGGGAGCAGTATGGAACATTGTGTGTGTGTGTGTGTGTGTCTACATGTGTGTGTATGTCTTTGTGTCTGTGTGTGTCTGTGTGTGTGTCCACGTGTGTGTCTGTGTCTGTGTGTCTGTGTGTCTGTGTGTACATGTGTATGTTCTGGCTCTCTGGTAAGGTGGATTCATAGATTCTCATTATATTTGGGTTTTGCAATGCAGATTTCTGATCGGTATCTCACAAAGGTGTGAAATAACTACACTGAATTAGGGGAGAGCAAATCTGAGCCCATTACCTGCCTGACACACATTACTTCTAGAAGAATTTTAAACACATGTTAGATTGTCTAGGAGAGAGAGTAAAGCATGAAAACCCAGCTGTCAGATGGTAGATTCCAAATGCTAGTATTGGGTGCTCATTAGTGGTGGCCCCATTGGAACACTCTCTTTGCTCTGGCTTTTCCAAGTCTCCTGTCTTCTGAAATGGCCATTGGTAACTTGGCAGTAGTAATTCTGGTGCAGATACAGTGCCCTGTTCCCTAGCTGATTGCTCTTTGCCCACTTTCTGCTTTCGAGGTAGTGAACTGTTTCTGGCTACTTTGACTCTGTCCTTTGCACCCTGGAAACAGGCAGCACAGTTATTGCTTGCTGCAAGGTCACAGATGTCTCCAGCATGGACTTGAGGAAGAATTGTTCTGTGTCCCTGCCATGTGGTAGCCAGAGCTTTGGAGTAAGGCCTCTTTCTTCATGATTCTTTACTGGAGTACCTGATTTGCTGGGATTTCTGCCTCCCTTAGTACTGGACATATGGGAGCTAAGGGGTCTTACCATGTTGACCAGTGACTAAACTACCATTGTACAATGGCTTCCCACAAAGGCTTCACTGTTTTTCTTTGCTTAGCTTACCCTGACTTGTTTACAGCTGCAGTTGTAGGGTGCCTGTGTCAAGGCCATCAGGGGGAAGGAGCCCCAAGAGTTCTAAAATGTTTTTCAGTGGTCCTGTGTATTATTCTCTTGTCTGTCTTCCTGTCGGTGCAGTGTAGTTAATCACAAGATTATCGACAGTAGCTTATCTAATTGACAAGCTTGGATACTGGAGTGAATGTGTCTCCATATATATTGGCTGTTTATGCTAAAGGCCCAAACCTCGGCCTCTGGACTGAGAGGAACATTTCTCTCGCAGGCACCGGAATCGGGGGAAATTGAGTGACCTAGTGGCTGAGCACCTGGACCACCTGCACTATCTCAATGACATCCTGATCATCAACTGTGAGTTCCTCAATGATGTACTCACGGACCACCTGCTCAACAGGCTCTTCCTGCCGCTCTACGTGTACTCCCTGGAGAACCCTGACAAGGTGAGTCTACTGCCTCCTGAGTCTACTGTCTTCCTGGGAACAATGCTGCCTTTGACTGGAGCAGCCTCTGGGAGTAAGGGTGGAAGTAGCAAAGCTTTACTCCCTAGGGAAAGGCCTTTCAAAGCCCACTGGTCTTCTGTTCTTAATGAGAAAGTGACCAATGTAATTCCTGGTGTCAGAGGGGAGCAAGAGACCCTAGAACTCAGCCTCTGTGCTTCTGTGCACCCTTCTATGGGTGCACTGTCTCCATAGCTTTCTATGGTGCTCACTAGAGCTAATTCTCAGAGAATTACTAGTCAGCATCAGAACTTTTATATGAAATGCATAGGAAGTGCTAGAGCATGCTCAGCGAAAGGTCTCCTGGTTACATCTAAGTTGTCAGCCTGAGTCTTCCATGGGGTAGGGAATGGTCACTTACTGGGAGACGATCTCATTTCAGGGAGCTCATCTGGTTAAGCTTGAGTTAGGACAGGTCATCTGTATGAGTAACCTTTCTCTAAGTGATGCCATGAGTGGCTGGTTCTGGGATCCCCTAGGAAAAAAGCTGCTTCAGGAAGAGAGGCCTCAGTTGTGCCTTCAGAATTAAGGTTAGAGGAAGACAGGACAAGGGAACACAGACATATCCAGCAGAAGCTGTCTCCCTGCAAGGCACCTCATTAGATGTGTCCCAAAGCCATGGCATCTTCCAACTAATAAGTAAATACAGCAAAAGGAAGTCACAGCTCCAGCTCACACTGGAGCAGCCCTGGAGAGCATCACTGAGACCTAGGATTGGAGTCATTTCTGCCTTTTTCCTTGGACAAGGCATAAAACCCAGGGCCTAAAAGTCCCTCACTCACAGGACTGGCCTGACTTGGGTCATCTTGAAGCGCAGGGCAAGCCATGGTTTGTTTTGTGTTTTTGTTTTGTTTTGTTTTCATGGCTAGAGGGCCCCAAGTCCTACCTTCCCCCATGTAATGAAGGACTCTTCCTGAAAGAGACCAAGGACCTATCCTCTGGGGAACGAACGAGCATTGCTGTAACCTTGGAAGTAAACACATCCATTGGATCAGCTGCTAAGACAGGACTGTGGTGCAGGGTTCTTGGGGGAAGGCTGGCCTCAGAGTGGGCTTTTGACTAGCCCAGTCTGGAAGGGGATGCACTTCTTGTCTCAACTGAGGACTTGTGGTCTTCTGTGTTCTGTTTGGCTTTTGTAACCAGAGCCTCCTCTTTTTCCTCTGTCCTTCACTAGGGAGGAGAACGACCAAAAATCAGCCTGCCCGTGTCCCTCTATCTTCTCTCCCAGGTATGTTTGTTCTGCGTCCCATGTCTCCTACAGAGATGCAGTCCTGCCCTGTGTCGGGTGCTTAGTTAGTTCTGTGGCCCTGTCTTGAAATAACACAAGGGAAGCTGTGCTGCTTTCCATACACCAAGAAGGGGTTAGCCTCTCGGGAGAGGATGGAGACTAAAGGGCAGCGAGGCCTGGCATCCATCCGTGCTGCTCATTTCTAGGTAACACTTCCCAACATCTGGCTCCTGCTCCTGCTCTCCGTTCCTGCAGACGTGAGCTCGTGTGGCCTTTGTTCACGATGCTTAGAAATGAGGGAAATGTGTACACTGAGAGCTGTGGTCTAGCACACAGCCTTACCAGGGCTGCATTCGAGGGGCTGTGGTGGTTCTGGTTCCAGATCACCTTCTAAGGGCTGTTAGAGCAGCCACAGCCTGAGGTTTGAATTTCAATCTAGTTGTCTGCCTTCCTCCTTAAACAACTGTTTCCTCCTTCACATCTTGTAACTATGTAACATTTATGAGAACGGGAAAAACTCCATGGTGACCCAGTTACATAACTTAGAAATATTTTTATTACTAGCACTCCGGATTCGTGGGCCACTTTACCCGACTGTCAAGTAGCTAGATGATTGCTTACAGCTCTGTTTCCATGCCTGCCGTGGTAGCAGGGTTTATTCCTTTCAGTGAGATTCCCTTCTACTTAGAGCCCCTGTTGTTTCAAGTTTGGGGTGATGCTGGCCTGAGAAGAGGTTCAATTACCATCTTTCCACAGTGGGGAGGCTGATTACATCCAGACATAGCCTGACCACTTCTTGTATTCTACAGCCTCATTCTAGAGACTCAGTTTGCTCAGAACTCTGTCTGAGGCCTGCTCTTTCTCGGGCCCCTCTACTACCTCAGCGCAGGACAGCTTCTCCTGGCAGCCCCATTACAAACTCGTTATAAACCTGCCAGCATTACCTGCTGGGAATTCTGGGAATCTAGCAGGATCCAAACAGATCAGTTGCTCAGCTAAGCTACAGGAGTCCAACAAGAAACTCCTTGTCATGACCCATCAGCTGTTGGAGCATCACTCAGGAAGGTTTTCCTGAGGAGCATGGTCACTAGCCCCTGTGGCTGTCCCTCAGCAGGTAAAGGTCTTTAGGACAAGTCTGATGAACCAAGTTTGATACCTAGAACCTACATGGTAGAAAGTAAGAACCTCCTGCCTCTGTCTGTTCTCTGATATCCACATGCTTACGGTAGTACTCACATGCCCACATACATGCACGCAAAATTAAATAAATAAGTGTAAAACAAAAATTAAGTTAAAAATCTTGGAGCCCTAGCTGGGTATAGTGCTCATGTCTTTAATTTCAGTACTCATGAGGCAGGTGCAGGCAAGTTTTATGAATTTGTGGCCAGCCTGGTCTACATAGTGAGTTCCAGGCCAGTTAGGACTACATAGTATCAGAGAGGGAGGGAAGGAAGGAGGAATAGAAGGAAGGAGAATGGTAGGCGGGGAGGGATAGAACTAATCTTGAGGCCTTCCTCTGTCGCCCTGTTATAATGTAGCCTAAATGTGTAAAAACTTAGTCTAGTTTAAATGCTGTGCCCTTAAAGCATCTACATCCTTATAAAGTTGATGCATGCTTATAAATATCTTCAGCATAGCTACCATGAAAGCTCACATTGTAGTACCAATTTAGTGTGATAGGTGATGGCATCCCTAAAGTAAGCTGCCTCTCATCTCAGGAACATGGTGCAGGCGGCCTGGCCTCGGCACACTTCCACATCTCTCCTGTAGAGATCCCTCCCACCACACTCCTGGCTCAGAACCAGGAAAATGAGTACTGCATGCAATCACCTACAAGGATCTGTTCACCTGCAGGAATCCATGTATTTGCAGAGACTGTCCACAGCAAGGGTCAGTACTCAAGCAGAGATCTGTTTACTGGCCAATATCTGCCCTCAGAGGTCCATCCACAGTCAGGAATTCAACCATAGGTAGTGAGCTATCTGTTCATAGGCATTGATCTATCTGGTGTTTATAGGCAGTGATCTGTCCATGGATGGATCAGTCCATAGATAGAAATCTGTCTGCTAGGATCTGTACGCCTGCCAGGGATCCAGGTGGATATACCACACACTCTACCATGTCTATTGACATCCATTGCTTTTACATTTTTAAAATTTATTATTAGTGTGCATGTGCATGAAGTAGGAGTTAGCACATGTGGAGATCAGAGGACAACTTTGTATAGTCAGTTCTCGCCTACTGTGAGTTGTGGGTATTAAACTCAGGTTGTCAGACATGCTGAGCCATCTCACTGGCCCGCCTTTACATTTTAAAACACGCTAGTGGTGTTGACAGGTCAGTGTTGAACACCTTGATTCCTAAAGCCACTCTTCTGAACATGAGGCAGGAAGGTGGATGACAACCGGTGCTTTCTGTTCTACATCCCAGCCTGACTGGACCTACCTCTGACTCCGGTGGCTTCCACCTGCAACACTGCTGTGACCCCAACATGGTAAAATCCACAGCAGGGTTTGGGACAGTTCCAATGTTGGAATCTCAGCATCACTGCCCCTTCCCCAGTCCTTGGCCGCCTTCTTTATGATGGAACCTGCCATGCCATGGGAAGGAGTGTGCTGTCTGTCTGGGTCGTCCTTTCCAGCAGTGCCCCACTTGAGCAGCAATCATGTAGAAGCACTCCCAAGGAAGAGCAGCTAGCCAGACAGGCAGCGGGGTGGAGAGAAGCCCTCTGGAGTTGAGGGGTTGCTTTCTCCTTGATGGGGTGGGGATTTTGGATCAGAGAGGAGGAGATTGGAGGACTGAGCTCCTCAATGCATTTCCCATTTCCCCCTTGACCAGGTCTTCCTCATTATACATCATGCCCCGCTGGTGAACTCTCTGGCTGAAGTCATTCTGAATGGTGATCTATCTGAGACATACACAAAGCCTGCACAGGATGTTCCCAGAAGTTCTGTAAGTTCCTCTACGATTGTGTCTACATTTTGATAAGAAGCATTTCTTGCTTTACTAATTCATATTTCTCTAAAGTAAAAAAAGAAAACAAACAAAAAAACACAACATTTTTATTATACATTAGTGAAGATGTGTCAAGTAGTCTGGGATACAGAGAACCTAGCCAGAGTCTTTAGTTGTGCACCTGGGGAAATTTGCAGTCCAGCATAAACAGTGGATTTGATCAATCGGGCATTGCTGAGTGGATTGTATAACTCTTGGTCCTTAGATGTTATGTATATAAGACACTATTTCTGAGACAGAATGAGAGCTGAGAGAACAACCTGTCTAAGGCACGTATATCGATGGAGGTTGGGTAGTGACCATCAGTGAATGTCACTGGTCCAGTGTGAGAACAGTAGGGCGTGCCAACACAGTAATCTGGACAGTTTTTTCTTGTGCATAGCTGCTGTCCTACCCAGCCTGAAGTCATTCTAGGGTGTATGGATGCCATACCCAAGTCATCTTCTGTCTTCATAGAAGTGGAAGTTCTTAGCTTTCAGGCTAATCACTAAATATTATGAACTAAGTGTGTCTAGCCGTGCTGGGTTCTGCAGAGCTTAGATTTGCCCTTTCCACACCAAGGAAGGGAAACTCCTGGGGCCAGGACTGTGACTTCCTGGAGTCTCTCGTGCTGACCTTTGATGTCATCTTTCCTACTATTCTCCTCAGGTGTCCTGAGCCCCATGTTGCCTTGGGACTTTCCCAGCTTGCTCCTTTTCCCCCAACTCACCTGTGTCCTTACCACACCCACCATTGGAAAGGCCCTCACATCTGGCTCCTCAGAGATCTCATCCTGTTGAGTTCCTATCATGTCTACAATTGCATAGGCTGTGACATGAGTCCCTGCAAGCATCTCTCTGAGAGAAGCAGGGAACATCTTGTACCAGTTCTGCTTCATGAGGTCTAATTTTGACTACTGGCGCTCTGGCAGGAGGACCACATGAATATGTGAGGCATGGTAGGACCTAGGTTGTCATTCCTGCATGCATGCGTGCAATGTGAGCCTATAGATGGAAGGCACATGTGTGTGCACACGTGTGCAGGAGCCTGTGGTGGCCAGAAGAGGGCATTGGATCCCACAGAGCTGGAGGTACAGGTGGTTGTAAGCCACACATCATAAGTGCTGGGAACTGAACCGTGGTCCTTTGCAAGAGTATCAAGTATTCTTAATAGCTGAGCCATCTATCCAGACCTTTCTGTAACTTAAGTAGCTTTTGCTGAACGGATGTAGTAATGTACTACCAACTCAGCACAGACAGCAGAGCCCAGTCAGCGATCTAGCCCCTACTAGCTGGATAGCCTAGCACAGGTTGTTTTATCCCACTTGGAAATCAAGGAAAGTAAGCAGGTTGCAGGGGCTGTCAGTAAGCATAGAGAGAAAATAGATCCCAAGTGCTAGGCAAGTACCTAGCCAATTGTAGCCTGATCCTCAGGCCTGCTTGATGTGTTCTTTCAAAGAAGAAAGTCTTCTAAGATGCCAGCATTGAAACGTAGAGTTCCACTTCTGAGTTTTGGAGACAGTCTGATCCGTTACACACATTTCTACAGAAAGCCTCTCAGAGGCTGCACTCAGGAGACATATGTTTGTTGTTTATTTTGCCTTGTCCCCACCTCACCTGCTGCTAATTGACACTTTGTTTATGTTAATAACAGTATAAAATGTCTTAGGTCCTTTTGAACTCTTTTGTTTGACACCATTTCCAAGCCCCAGTGTAGTTGCCCAGGCACTTCCCAGAATATCTTCCATAAGCAATGCTGAAGTCAGGCTTGGGGTTGGAAGATATGAGCCCAGAGTTCTTTGGGAAACTAGTTTTCTCAGGTGGCAAGAACATTTAACTTCTTAACGTGTGTGTGTGTGTGTGTGTGTGTGTGTGTACATGCACATGCAGTATGAGCACATTCAAATATGCATGCATGCATGCATATACACATGTACATCAAGGCCAGAGGTTGATGTCATATGTTTTCCTCAATTGCGTTTTACTTGGTTTTATTTGAGACAAGTCTCTCACTGAACCCAGAGATCACTGATTCAGCTAGATTGGCTGATTAGTGGGCTCTAAGGAAGTGTCTTTCTCTGCCTCTGCCTTCCCAACTCTGGGAATACAGTTACACACCATGATGCCTGTTTCTACTATACTACTGGGGACTCAAATTTAAGTCCTTGTTCTTGTACGACAAACATGTTACTGACTGAGCCATCTCCCAGCCCCTTATCAAGTGTTTAAATGCATAATGCGTTATTGTTGCCAGCAGGCTAGTTGTGCAAGCCAGCATACTCTCTGTGTGCTCCAGAGCCACTGGCAAAACTGAAGCTATTCCTCTTGCATACTTCCTGTCCCTGTAGGTACTGTCCCACCCTCTGCTTCTATGAGTTTGATGATTTTAGATATCTCGTGTAAAGAACTGGAATCATGTAAGGTAGTATTTCTTTTCTGTTATTGGTTTACTACACGTAGAATGGTGTCCTCAAGGTTTACATATTTTGCTACTGCCAAATTTCTTTAAATTTTAAAGGCTAAATAATGTATTATATGTTACACTTTCTTTTAGAATTTTGTGTTTCTTCTTGGCATGTATTGGTTATACATAACAGATTCATTGTGGCATTTTTATACATCCATATAAACTATTTTATCATCCTCAACTCCATTACACTTTCTTGTCCCTGTCCTGATGAGCTGCTTCCCTTTCCCAACTAGTTCCCCTTCCGCTTCCGTTTCCTTTTTTATTTTTCCTAGTGACCAGGGAGTTTCAGTGGGTCTCCCCGCCCTCGTGGATCATTGGCCCATACAATCTGCAAGGGCAAGGGGAGCAGAGATGATGGGGGCAGGGGTCTGGAAGCCCTGTGAGTACGTACAATGAATGACCACGCTGGGACCAGCTCTCAGGGCAGATCAACTTTTCTTAGGGTGATTGAAGGCTTATAAAATTTTGGGGGACAGACGTCAGGGACATCCAGGATGGGCAAAAGTCATTGGCTGGGGTCTTAGGTACCTGGAATGTCTCATTAGCGTGGGGAAGCATTCTAGGACTCTCAAATGTTAGCTGAACAGGTTTATCAGGAGAAAGGAAATTGATCCTGTAATCAAACTAAGGCTACGTAACATTCCTCAGAGAGAGGGTTTTGAATTTCCCAGATAAGGTTGGAGAAGGAAAAGACCCACTAATGAAGGGAGTCTCCCATATTGCACTGAGCCCAGAGGCTAAGTAGTCATGGTGGACTTCATCCTTAATTAGCAGAGTCTTCCCACAGGAGCATGGGCACCTTACCAGTAGCTACACCACTAAAGAAAATGTTTGTCCCTTTCGCAGAAACTATTACTGCCAATAAGTCCTCACAGAGGACAGAGCAGAGCTTGCGCCTCTCCTCCCAACTACCATTAACTGCCAGTATGTCATCAGGAGGGCTGGGGCCTTGTGAGTCCCCTGACTCCTTGACACAGCATTGGTTGGTCCAGTCTTCTGCATGTCCTCACAGCAGTTATGAGCCCATGAGTGCAGTAGCCCTGTTGTACTTGGGACACAGTTTTCCACCACACACTTCTCCATCCTCTAGCCCTCATATTGTCCCACCTTCTCCATGATGTTTCTTGAGCTTTGAAGGAGGATGGTGCAAATGTCCCAGTATGACTAAGCATTCAGCAATCATTTACTTCTCCTATTTTTTTTATTACTTCATCTGCTAGCATGCAGATTCTAGAGGACATTGTTTAGTGAGGTAATTGTAGATTTGCATACAGCTGTAAGGAATAACACAGAGACATTGTCCCTGGTTTTATCCCATTTTGATGCCTACAGAACTACAGTACCTGACCACAAGTAGGACACAACACAGGCTGTGGTTTGCAGCTTAAGCAAAAGCACAGAGCAGATGGTAAACGGCCACCTCTCAGATGGCTCTCAGGAGGTCTGTCCTTTTTCCTGATGGTCTCCTCTTGGGGCAAAGGTCCAGCCTCCACTGTGGGAGACATACCTACTGGTTGTGTGAGTGGCTGAACCGAAGGAACTGGCACATGAGAGGCTGGTTTCTCTGTAGGTGTGAGATCAAAGCCCCACCTTCTCATACTTGTAGGTGGAAATCCTAGACTAGCTGGCAAGATAACCACCATTTATAACTTGTTTGACAATAGTCCTGTGCAAGTTGCCTTCCTTCCCTGTGAGTGAGAACAGTCTCCTATTATTTCCTGCCTGGCTCGGATGTGGTTGATCAAACTTGTTTTAAATTTCTTGGTCTTTTTTACCCTACTTTCTCCTTCCTGTAATTTGTAGATAAGTTACTGGTATTGCTTCATTTTTACCAGCAGACCTCTCACAAACCCAAACCAAAATTGGAGAGAAGCAGAGGGGAGACAGAATTATTCTGAAGGGCTATAATTTAGGGTTAAATTTAACACAGATCAGAATAGGCAGATAAATGTCTAATTGGGGTTTCTGTGTGCATTACCATCATATGGCTCCTGCTCCAGACTAGTGCTCTCTGGGATTCTAGTGCAGAGCAAAGTTCCTTTCAGACAATACCTGGTCTTTTAGTTACTTTTATATTGCTATGAAGAGACAGAATGACCAAGACAGCTTATAAAAGAAAGCATTTAATTGGAGGTTTGCTTACAGTTTCAGATGGTTGGTCTATGAACATCACGGTAGAGAGCAAGGTGGCAGGCAGGCAGGCAGGCAGGCAAGGTGCTGCAGAGGAGCTGAGAGCTTACATCTTATCTGCAAGTTGGAGGCAGAAAGAGTGAAGCCGGGCCTGGTGTGGGTTTTGAAGCATAGTGCACACCCCTGGTAGCACACCTCCAACAAGACCATACTGGTTAATTCTTCCTAAATCACTCAACTGGGAACTAAACATCCAAAACTATAAGACAGTGGGGGCCATTCTCATTCAAACTACTACACATACCCAAGGATAGCAACTCATAAGGTAGCCTCTTCTAACGTTTGCAAAGTGAATATGG